TTTTGGACCCGGTGAGACTCAGGAAAGGGTGAGAAAGGTGTTAGTCCATGGTAGCTGACAGTATTTTTGTGTTGTAGCCCATGGATGATCTCGTGGGTGGGGTGGGGTTGTGGATTAGACGCATCACTGTGGTGCAAAGGGACATCCGCTGTTTTTCAGGTAACTAAAAAATAGGCGGACAATGAATGGCCTGAAATGAAAATAGCAAGATGCAATGGGGTCATAACTACTATTGGGAGACATTATGAGTCTCCTGTGTTCATATTTTAGAGTGCATGTTTTTTTTTCCAGGACTATGAAGCAGGTTGACCAAATATTCTGTCTTTACATTATGTGTTTCTTGGTAATTAAAATACCTCCAATAAGTATGGTAAATGGTCTGTATTTGATATAGCACCTTCTAGAGTCCTGGAACCCCCCAAGGTGCTTTACAACACAATCAGTCATTCACTCATTCACACACACATTCACAACCTGGTGGTGGTGAGCTACATTGTAGCCACAGCTGCCCTGGGACACACTGACAGAGGCGAGTCTACCGTACACTGGCACCACTGGTCCCTCTGAACACCACCAGCAGGCAAGGTGTGTACCGTATTTAGTACAATTCAAAAGTTTTATTTGTGGATACAATTAAATAAAAACACAAGCACTGTCCTCTTTATCCACCCTGCTGGAAAAACCAGCATAGGCCAGCCCAGCTGGTCACCAGCATGTGTTGTGTTTCGGTGCTAGCATGCTAGTCCTGATGTTAATGTTGATCTATAATGGTTTTTCCTGCAGTGTATGTAGTTAATAGCAGCAAATCACTTTAATTTAAACGTCAACTTTACTCATATTTTTACCACATCTGCGGTGGTCTCTAGTAGGACTGAATGCATTGTAAGTTGTTCTCAAGAGAAAAAAAAGCTCCAGTGTGCCTGTTTGAGGACGTAGAAGTCAGTCAGAAGAGAAGGTGGCAGAAAACAGCAGGACTTGTAGTCTTATTTCCTGATATTTGGACACCTCACCCCTGATTGGTGAACAGCAATGCAACTATACCACTGACTCGGTTTGCTCTGCAACACTGATGTTTTATCTCCACGAATAACACAAGCCTGGAGGAGTTCTGCCATGTGGTGGAGTTGCTAGTGCTAATGGTTAGCTTTGTCTAGTTAAAACGTTCTCTGTTGTTACCTGGAAGCTAAACCAACAACAGCCTACCCCGTTATGAGTCAAGATGGGCGAGTCCATAAATGTTAAGTAACAGTGTGATGTAGATCTGTCAGGATTTTCTAAAAAAAAATAAATAAATAAAGGGCAGAAGATAAATTTTACGTTCTGCCTGCATGTTAAACTCAGAATGACTGATAATTTAAAAAAAATATGATAATAAACTGGTAAAAATAAACATTTTCTCTGTGAACCTGGTTTTTAAATGTCTTACACCAGTTATTTAAGAAGTTCCAGGAAAATAATACATTTAGCTATACCACGAACAAAAACATTTGCCATGCTTTTGTTTTTGTAGTTTACATATTTATTTTGCTCCGCTTCATAAATTCAGTAGACATAAAAAAAACTCACTTGAGAAAAAGAAAAAAAAGGTCAAAATGAGGCTTGTGGTGTAAAACAAACCATGTGTATGTAATTCTATATTTTTACTTTCATTAAAATATTCTAAAAAAAAATTAAACTGATTTTTTTTTACTTAACTTTTATTTCACAAGGAAAATTTTTGGGTTTAAGAGTGTCCTGCAGCAATCGGCACAACAAGGCACAAACAACAGTTTACACATAACACGGTGTGCTTTTCAATCTTTACTTTTCCCCTAATGGCCCGTTTACTCTATGCTGATACTGATGTAGAGCAGCAGGTCTTAATGAAAAACCGCTGGACGGTGATCAGTGCTTATTGATCACCCCGAGTTTCCAGCTATAGGCAGGGCTAAACCATCAATCCCCTCAGTTTGAATCAGACTAATAGAAAATGACCAGAAATTCTGCCTGCCTCCCAGTTTTTACAGAGCATTTGAATGTTTTTACGCCCCCTGAGCAGAACGGGATTTTTAAGCTTAAAACAGATTTAGTCCAGTAGTCTATTTGTCACTTTAATCAGCCATATCATTCCTGAAACCTTCAAATGAGCTTTGACTGATCAGGGCACTTGCACAAGAACCGAGCAAAAGTAGAAAAATAAAAAGAATGTTTCTACATTTTGGACCAGCAACAGAACCAGAGCTATGCAGGTGAAGCAATCAATCTGAGTTTTCTGCAGAATACTTCATGGATCTCCACTTATAGATTGCACTGATGCACGTGATAAAAAAAAAATCTCTTCACATTTTTTTCTAGTGTTTTTGTTGAAAAAACATCAGTTTAGATGCACATAAACTTGCTTTATTAAACGCTGCATGATCAAGAAAAAAGAGCGTAACACACCACTAAAGGTGATGTGAATGTGTGTAAAGGAGACAGCAGTAGTCAGGATTTGAGGTTTGATTAGTGTGGGCTTTACTTTGCTTCAAATTGGAGAAAATCTTAAAAAATAACATAAATAGCTTAAGCTTGTTTAAAAAGTAACTACCAGCTGACCCATTAAAAAAAGAGTGAATAAATACATATTAACCTTAAGATTGTTCTGAGTTAAACACCACATATTATTCATTTTAAAACTCCTGTTGATCCTTTATTTTTTCTATTCTGGCACATGTGACACCAGCAGCCGTCCCTCTGACAGGAAAGACCTAAACACAGGCCAAAACAGGAAGATGAACACACACACACACACACACACACACACACACACACACACACACACACACACACACACACACACACACACACACACACACACAGCCAAGTTCAAAACCCTCCCTCTGAACGACTGACGTGCTGACTGGCCAGTGGTGGCTCCTTGGGGGATTTGCGTTTGTGTGTATGGAGGGGCGGACTGGATATTCCAGCTGGTCTGTCATGGGACTCCCAATCGCGTGTGAACGGCGCTCGGAGGGAACTGTTTTTAACAGGTCCAACACTGAAACACTTAACAGGATGAAAAGGTCAGCCGGGGTGAGCTCTTCAGGGCAAAACCAGGAACCGACCAAACAGATCCATGAATTATCGAAAGAAAGAAAGAAAGAAAGAAAGAAAGAAAGAAAGAAAGAAAGAAAGAAAGAAAGAAAACATAGGCTACACAGGTAAAATGTATTATTTTGTAACTTGTAAAAAACAAATATCAAATTAAATGTTTTGATAACTTTTTCTAACAATATTTTCTGATTTTGTCACTGAATAAATTCCTGACATTAAAAAACTAAAAAATGACTGAAGATTTTATTCTGTTGCATTCCACATCACAAAAAAATAAAATAAAATCCTGACATATATTTGCATTAATTTAAAAAAAGCTTTAATGTCTTACTTTTATTATATAACAATAATAATAATAATAATAATAATAATAATAATTCTAGATTGATTCATTTTGCGTTTTTAAAGGTACCCACTACACTTTAAAGGGAATCCATCTTTCATTCGTGCTCTGCTGATGATGGTAAACTACATTGTAGCCACAGCAGCCCTTTTGGTCATTGCTGAGTTGTAAAACCTGGTAAAAAAAAAAAAAAGATCCTTCTGTGGTGAAAGCACAAGACCAGATCCTTTAACACATTGTTCCCACCTCCCAGCACTTAGCTAACCTTGACCAGCTAACCAGCCACACATGATCTTCTCACACCCTTCTGTCCTGACTTACGCATTTTGTGGAACGAGACCGCGCTTCCACCCAATAACCTCTGCTGTGAACTTAATTATGCGCACTCAGGTATCGTGTTTCGGGCCACACTCAGATCTCACAGCGCTCAAAGAGAAACAGATGGACTGAACCTGAAAATGAGTGAGAGAGCAAAGCAGCAAAGGAGGAGAGGGAGAGAGACGCAGACCACCCAACAGCTGCAAAGAAAAACAAAGCCCAGCGCAGAACAGAGTCGGCTTCGATCAGTTTGGAAGGATCGCTGCAAGCTGTGCAGTAGCCGTTTGCCAAGAAATGAAAAAAGCAAGGAGAGAGTGAAGTCAGCTGATCTTAGAACCTGTTGTAAAAGTAGCCCAATCAGTACTTTATTCAAATTTGAGCTTTAAAATAATTCTTTGATGTCGTTTTTGTTCTTCATTAATAAGACATAAAATAATGCCGGTTCTAATTAAATAACTTTCTCTGACTTTAACTTTGGAAATAAAAGTCGTGTTTTATACACAGAAAATGTGTTTCCTAAAAAAGACCCTCTGATGTTTTTAACTTTATGAAATGAAATAAATGTTTGAAAATAAAAATTAAACAAACATTGATGAGCATTTCCCCCGACAATATAATTACTAATTTAGTCATTTTATAAAGCAGAATAAAATGATCAGGATCAAAGCTGATGAGCTCACGAGCTGCTCTGAATCATTACACAAACTGATAAATATCAGATGAAAAGCAAGCTCAACTCCTCTTTTAAATCAACATGTACAAGTTTTCTGCCCAAGAGCAAGGCACCTGACATAATAATGTTGATCCTAAAATAGCAATGAAAGAGTGCTTTTTTATCAATAAAGCTAACATCCATCACCTTAGGCATTCTCCTTTTTACAAAGCTGTGCCTGCACATGAGAAACATCACACATGGTTGTTTTATTCACTTCAAAAATATAATTCAACACTAGAACTCAAGTTTTCTTTGTTTATGGTAAAACATTTTATATCTAGAACAAACGGCTCTCAGAGGGGGGATTTTATTTTAGAAGAGAGTGGTGTAGTTTTAATAATGACCACCAGGGGGATGTGGATGTGTAGAAAGTTGGATTTGTGATTTATTTCCTTGGAGAGACAGAAAAGTGCAGCTGATAATGTTTGAGTGTTTCTGTACACAAAAACAGGACAGGATTGAACCGATGCTTAAACATGATACTCCATAATGGTGCAATAACATGGAGACTGAGGCGCTATTCTTTGGACTTGTGTGTAAAAAGTCCTTTACCTTTTTGTCCAGAGGAGCAACTTCGGCAGACTGAATTAGCATCTGTGGATCACCAGCAGTGGACACCGAACCTGCAGAAAAAAAATATAAACAAACAAAAAAGAAACTGTCAGATTTTTGTGTCTCATGGTGGGAGAAAAAAACATAACTACAAATCTAAATATGAAAGAATACACTTTGGATAAATTTGTTCAAACGATAGGTACTTGAGATGTTTCTTCTCATCTTATGGTTAAAAGCAGCACTAACAAAGAAAAACACACTCTACAGAAATACTATTTAAACGGATAGTTGTAGCATTTACAAATTGATGATTTTAATATGTTATGACCACGAAGATGTAATATTCTATTACATTACTCATAATTTAACATTTTTATAAATTGAGTGTACTTTGCACATGTTCGACAACACTGTGCTGTCTGGGTTAGAAGACATTTCTTTTTGTGGTGCACAGATTTATCTACAATTATTTGGAAATGTTTTATATGCAAATGAAGTTATTTTCCCTCAGAGCATTATATTCAACTAGCAACTTAAACTAAATTTAACTCATTAATTAATTTGTGTTCCGTTTGCTCACAAAGAACTGGGCAAAAAGGCTTTCGTTCACTCCGCTCCTTCTTCATGGAGCAGGTTGCAGGAAAACTGGAAATTTGAGCTTATCTCCCTGAATATGGCCTGTATTTTGATATTTGATATGAATGTGTTTAAAACTAGACTGAGAGCACTTGAGACGAATTCCCTTCTGCCTTCTGTTATTCTGTATATAACCAACTGTGTAACTGAGAAATGTTGTGACTAACTTTTGCTTCCTCTTGGCCAGGACTCTCTTGAAAATTTGGTATTTAATCTCAATGAGACCTTCCTGGTTAAAGAAAGAATAAATACATAAAATCAATGAGTGACTAATGACCTGAAGAGAACTGGGACCACAGTAACAAAGGTTACTAAAAACATAAAAGTTTGCAGCGCCTGAAAGGTCCCCCTGCTTGAGACAGGTCATGTTCTAAAGTTTGCCATTTGCCATTATTACTGTGAAGCATGGGGGTGGAAGCACCATGGTTTGGAGCTGATTGTCTGCATAGGGGAAAGGATGACTGTGCTGTATTAAGGAGAGGATAAATTAGGTCATGAATCATGAGATTTTAGAATAGAATTGAATGGAACAGACGTTATTAACCCCACAGTGGGGAAATTCTCTTGCTACAGCAGCACATACAGTTAGAGAAAAGGAAGAAGAAAAATAACAAGATTACAGGTAAAAACACAAAGGCAGTAAGCTATTATATTATGGGCACAAACATTTTTTCCATCAAAGAGAGCACAGAAGATGAGGCCAGCATGAAAATGATGGCAAACACATTGCAGGTCATTGAAAAGATGGCATTTCAAGGCTCTAGAATGGCCTAGCCAGTCGCCAGACCTCAATCTAAATCTGTGGATGGAGTTGAAAATTCATGTTGCTCAGTGACAGCTCTTAACATCACAGCAGTAGAAAAGACCTGCATGGAAGAATGAGGCAAAATACAGCATGTATAAACCTGGTGAAGGCCTACAGGAAACGTTTGATCTCTGTCATTGCCAACCAAGAATGTATGACAAGTATTGAGGTGAACTTTTCTTATTGACCAAATACTTATTTGCACCATTACATAAATACATTCTTTTAAAAAAATCATACAATGAGACAAATCGTTGTAAAGAACCCCACTGCCCCAGCTGACTGTTTCCTCTGTTGTTCAGGATCTGTCGTGGCTGCTCCTCTACACACCACCTGTGTCTAGAATGCTCTCCCAGAATGACTGCTCCTGATCTGATCGTGGGATGACTACCATCCTCTGCCATGGTGACTAATTTCCTTGTGTCCCTGTGTGACTCACCCACCACATCCCTGCCAACAATATCTTCATCGGCCTTTGTCTCATCTGCATGGGACATAGCAGGAGGGTGGGTGGCAATTTTTGAAGGAGAGAGGTCAGAGAGCCACAGGAGTTCATCCTTTTGAGATGTCAGCACTGCAATTTGGAGAACAGTTTAAAGAAGACAAGGACGACAGGAAGAAATTAACACTGAAGGGTGTATTTCTTGTTAATCTTCAAAATGATCGCCAGCCAAACGCTTGGCCATTGTTGATCCTAATCAAAGAAACTCACTTCATTCAGCTTCAGTCATTTAGGATTTAATTAAACACCAACTTCCTTATACTAACCCACTTGAAAAATGATAAGCCACGCAATTCCCCCACTATTTACTGCATCCAACAGAATGTCAGCAGCTTTAAATCACATTAAGCATTCATAAATATGCTTTTGATCATCTGTATAGTCACCTGTTTAAAGCTAGGGGACCCACAGAAATCTTCTGCCTGGAAAACCAGTTTTAAGCTTCTTTTGCTTTGTGATTTGATTCTTGGATAATCTCACAAAGCAATTTTTTCTGGTCCACCTCAACCGCACCAATAATGTTGAACGCATTAATGTGTATTAAAAGGAACTCCAGCTATGAGGACGTGTATGCACTAATAAGCCACAAGTTTTCTGATGTACCAAAATATGTTGTTAGAAACACACAAAATATTGCTGTTTATTTATAAATCTATAATATTTAGTACATGTTTTGACCTACGTAGGACGCCATGTTTTCCGCATGCAATGCACTCTGGGGGTGATGATGTATATTGGTTGCTCTTGGAAGAATAGCTATTGACGCCAGTACTTGTTTACGCGCTCACCGTATTAATAATTAAGTAAAATGCCGCATTGTGCTGCTTTGGATGTAATTTACAGTCAGAGGGCAACAAGGGGAGTGATGTGAGTTTACACAGCTTTCCTACTGGCAAGAAGAGGAGAAAGCAGTGGGAAGATGCCTGTGGATGGACACAACTTCCCAAAGATTCGCGACTGTATTCCCGACATTTTTCTCCTGATGCATTTGAGTCTTATAGTCAACCACAACTACTTAAAGAGCTCACCAGAGCAGCTGAGTATAAGAGAAGGCGGAAACTAAATGATTTACCAACCATTTTCCCACACAAGGAGCCTAAACGCCCTCGGAGTGACAAGAGATGCTGGACGCTCTCCTGAGCCGACAACCCGCTCCTGCAGCTGCCGCTTCTGTTACGTTCAGCGATCCATCGGACACGCCACTCGTCACAGATGAAGCTGAACATTTACCTCTCCCGTCAGTAAAACAAGCAGAAAGTGTAGCAATCCAGTGTTCTCCAAATATATAATACCTGCAAAAACGATTAAAGTCGTTTCACTGAGTATCCTAATCATCTATGAAGCACACGACAGCTCTGGATGCTAATATTCTCCTAAGTCATTCATAATTGAATAAGTCTGATCACACGATAGTTTACCGTTAACTTCTGCTGACAAAAATAAGAGCTCTTGACAACAAACACTCTTCCTCTCGGTTACCACGGAGACGCATTTGCCGCACACACACCACCGGTTTTGTCCTGCACTCGCTTCCTCCCGCCCTTCTTGCTCTTTATGTTGATGCTCGTTTTGTGAAACATTGTCAGTGATGTCCTCATTAATGTTTCACTCTGGTTCAAATTGAAAAGGCTGAACAGATGACATGTTGATGTCGCTGAACAGTCACTACAGGGTCCCTAAGGCGGCCGGTGCAACCATATGGCGTCACTACCCAGAGTGCAGTGCGGCGCAAACAACAATGGCAATCTACAAGTTCAACTATTTTTACAAATTTTATAAAAATTATGACATTAAGAAGGTTTCTGTGCCATTTCAATATAAATGTTACTAACATTTATCTTTTAAGAACCACAAGGTTTTGTAAACTGGGTTCCTTTTAACCCCCAGAAACCCAAATTTAGAAAACAACTGCAAAATCTTTTTTATAACCTTTCACATGTTGTTCTAGGAGGCCAGATCAACGGGCCTATTTACACATTTTAACAGCCAATAGTGTTGCAGAACTGAACAATAGGACCTATTAGCAATGTAAATGTGGTTTTAAAAAGAAAAAAAATGGGGAAGGTTTATTTTTGTAGACTTAAATCTGATGTTGTAATATTACAACCGTGGGTCTCTGGGGGTTAAAGACAAAGGTTATTGTGTGCAAGAACAAAAATGAACGTCATTAGTATTTCACTGAGCTGTGACTGCATTAGGCCAAAATTTGAAAAAGCATTCGCAAGGAAGTTTCTAAAATGTCTGAAAACATTTTCAATGGTAGTTAATTTTTATGAGAGTTGCAGGACCTTGATTTCATGTCAGTAAATTGCTAAAAAATCAAGTTTCTATCAAAATAACAACTTCTTGCTGCCTTTTTTGGATCATGGGTGTTTGTATGATTGCTTTGTGTTGTTTTAGTATTTGCTTGCCAGGTTGCAGTTTGATGTCCTGCAGAACAGGAACCTGCTGAAAAGAAGTTTTAAACTGAGTCAGGCCCAGTTGTTTTTAATCTTTTCCTGATTAATACATTTTTGAAATGAAATGAAAATCAAGGGGCAATCTGGCTGTCAGAGGTGAAGCCAACACGGAAGTGACAAAAATTGCTGTTCTCCCCTCAATCCAGAAAGGAGCAAGTTCCCATTGACTCCCATGTTAAAAACGCTAACTGTTAACATGGGAGCGGCAGAAATAAGCATGTTTACAGCCTGGTTCAAAAAAACATTATAGGTTTTACATGTCAAGTTTACCATCATGACAACTCTGAGGGGTAACTCATCCATTTAGGTGTAATTAAAGCTTAAAATGACGAATAATTTGGATAGTGTCATTTTAATTGAAACATGTCAGAATCAGGTCTAGTGCTAATCCCCCTGCTTGCTTTAGAGAAGGCCTCAGCCTCACAATGAGAAGCCAAAGGGTAGCATCTTCCGCTTCCGGTCGGCAACAAGATGGCGCCTGTGCTTGGCTTAGCCGCAGTCACCGGCCACTTTTTCAAACTTTTCTCCATTAACCTCCTCTTTTGCACCTTGCTCCTGTCTGCAATCCTCTTCAGTAGTGTCCCTGCTACCCTCTCCTATGATCGCCAGACTCTTTTGTCCTTCTGTTTGTTCATGATCGCCCAAGATGCACCGAGGATTTACCAT